CTCACTACTAGGTTGCAGTCCATCCCTGATTTTATCACGTTTTCTGCCATATTGATCCAGCAAGGTTCGCCCGCTGATTTTACTGTAGATTTTACTGGAGATCGTTTCATGGGCCGTTAAGTTCTTTTTCTGAAACCCAGTCTTATGCCCAATTGATCCGACGATAGTCGATTGTTTTGTTGATTTAGCATTTCAACTTCTTTACCCATTCAGTGACACGCAAACTGCTGTTTGTGCTCTCATTCACTTTTCTCGTCTTCTTGTTTCTTTCTGTTGTTCCTTTCCTAGTTGCGCAATGTGCCGTTTGCCAGTGGCTTTCTGAAGTAAAGACTACCTACGTTTCGCATCCATAGGTTAGTAATAAGGACACCTGCAGAACGAAACTTTCCAACTCAAGCACAAGACGGTTCATCTGATAAGAACAACAAAAAGAGTTCATGGAAGTTTTACTCTTCGTTGATTTCTGTTTCGAGTTGAGTTCTTACAGACGCATTTTCAAAGTTTGTATGCGTAGTCGTAGTGTTTGTAGCACTGGTCATTGGTGAAGCAAAAATATGCAATATATGGACAAAATATGCAGACACGTACAGAGCTATACAAATATGCACAATTACAAGGATATGACTTGTTATGCACATCTCTAGTGTATAAGAGTTATCAATAGAAATAGATTAGTCTATTTCCAAAATTTCCTCAGGCGGTTACTTCTTTTACGAGGTCATGCCTGGAAATTCATCTCTGCTCCTGAAATTCCTCTGTGCATTATAAACCTCACAGGAGGCGTCTAAGGTATCGCCTACACAATCAGTGATGTGCAAGATAAGCGTTAAATTCGAGACATCGTTTCAGACTGATTGATACTCAGTTGAGGATCCGAAACAAGGAGACATTGCGTGGTTCATAATTTATGGTTTACCGTGAATGAACCAGAGTAACTTGTTTTTTTGTGTGTTTTTACAATTCTGCGTGCAGGTGCTGATCGAGACGTTGATTCGTTTGGGAGCGACCGTGAGATGGTGCGCGTGTAACATATACTCAACTCAGGTATGCATTCAAACCGTGTCCGTTGTTTACACGCACCTCTGAACGTCGGAACGCAGGATGAGGTGGCAGCAGCTCTTGCTGAATCGCGGATCCCAATTTTCGCTTGGAATGGCGAAAGCGAGGACGACTTCTGGTGGTGCATCGACAAGTGCGTCAACGCCGATGGCTGGAGGCCAAACATCGTACGAACGGCTGGCTACTTTTATCGAGGTTTGGAAACGTTTCCAAACGCGATTGTTCTTGTAGATCGTGGATGACGGCGGAGACGCGACGAATTGGGTGTTTCAAAAGTACCCGACGATCTTTTCACGTCTCAAGGGCATCGTCGAAGAGAACGTCACCGGTGTGCACAGGCTGTACTACATGTCGAAGAACAAGAAGTTGAACGTTCCGGTGATGAACATATACGATTCGGTGCTGAAGACCAAGTTCGACGGCTTGTATTCTTGTCGCGAGAGCATTATCGATTGCTTGAAGAGGACCACCGATGTGATGCTCGGAGGGAAGCAGGTGGTCGTTTGCGGTTATGGAGAGGTATGGCCAAAATCTGACTTTCTACGTTTCTGTTTTGGTTCGAGTTGGGTGGTTGCTGTCCAGTGGCACTCGCTAGCTTCACTAATTTCCCTTTCCCAATCGCAGCTGGTGATATATAAGTTTACGCTCAGTGTATTTTCTGAAATACCAGTCCTTTGTCATTATTGTCGATGGAAAAGACTACTAATTTAAGAAGGACCCAACTCGGCAAAATGAATTGCGTAGTATAACCCTTGAGAACAGTGTTTACTTTCATGAGAGACAGTAAATGCATAAAAGA